ATGATCTCACTCATTCATGGATAATAAAGACCATCATGTTTTTCAATTGTGATTTCAGGCCCTTAGAAAATGAGCAGAGTAGCCAGGTTCTTAGAGAATAAGTCAGGTATTCACATGCTTTGAGGAATATCGCATGGCTAAAGAAGATGATCACTTAAGATATCCACACAGAAACTGAGGAAAACTAAGAGTACAATATATTTACAGTTCCCTAAAAATACTCCAATAATGTGAGTGCTTACGGGCACTGCAGTGAGCACTGTGCAGTTCACTGGGGAGACTCGGGTGGATATAAAGTAATAAGAGGCTGAAGTTACGGTTCCCCACAAAAGTGGGCGTAGAGCCCGCTGGGAATTGCTACAACGGTTTCAGGGTCACAACCCCTGAGCCTCTGATGCTGAGTCAGAGTGAGCCTGTGAGTTTGCATTTGCCTTCCTACAGATTCCCCAGAGACGCTGACACGGCTGTTTCTGGGGTCACACTCTGAGGGCTCTGGGGCCCCAATGGCCAGCACTCAGTGCACATCCCATTCCTCTCTGTTGAGGCATAAACCTTCCTTCATCTGGCCTAACCCAGAATCGTATGCCTAATTTTTAATGAAGGTAGAAGCCATTCACCAAAATACCTTTGCATGTGGGTGTTCCAATCCAAATGCCGTCCCTACACTCTACAACATTGGATCCTTCCATTTGGTAATGTTCTGTACATCTATAAGCCACTTGGTCTCCTGACTTGTAGCTATTCTTCTTCCGGCTTGTGAGGATGGCATTGTCATAGCTGGGTGGGCTAGAACAAATTGATTCTGAAAAAGCAACAACATAGACTTTTCAGTAAATCTTTTAAAGTATATGTCGGCCAATAATTATACTTTAGAATAATAGATACATACCAAACTAATGTCTACTGTACAATGTTTTCCTGATAACTTGAAAATGTTAGCCATCTTGACTCAATTACATTGAATAACGTTACATTTATCAAAAGTACAACGTGGGGATGGTGGTGTTGAAAGCCTGAGGAGATGGGCATACCGGGCATGACCGAGACCAAACTTCTCATAATCAAATTCTTATCTGTCCACACGGGCACAGACACTATGTGCATTTGATATTTTTGCTTCTGTCTAAATCTGTTTCCAATAATAACATCAAACATCTTAAAATAACTATGTTTTTATTGATTTCAGAGAGGAGAGAGGGATTATTAATAGACAGAAACATCAATGATGAGAGGGAATCATTGATGAGTTGCCTCCTGCAGGACCCCCAATGGGGATTGAGCCCACAACCCAGGCATGTGCCCTGACTGGGAATGGAACCCTGACCTCCTGGTTCCTAGATCGATGCTCAACCACTGAGCCATGTGGGCCTGGCTACATCAAACATCTTAGAACATTATGGATTTATGAGGAGACAACTGATAAACTCTCAGTGAATTGAATAATGATGAGGTTGGTGAGCAGGATCCAGCTGTGATACAGGAAGAGATGAGAACTCAGAGGATGCCCATCAGAGCACGTGGACAGTGAACACAGATGACATCCAATGAAATAACTTGGCTCCTGTTGCCAAACTTTTCATATTACCGTTAATTGTGCTATTCATTCTCTAGCAGAATCCAGAACTTCTAGAGATACCTTCTAGAATTAATGCAGTTTTATAGTTGTACCATAGTTACTGTGAACTAAAGATATTCATCAGCCTTAGAAGAAAATGAAATACACTATACTTGTGCATTCTGGGGGATGGGACCAATTTCCTCCTGAACATTCTACAGACGCAGGTCCACGGATCCGAAATCCGGGTTTACAGGTGTATGTATATCTTTCCCCATGTGGATAAATGTTTATCCTGTCAGGAAGAACAGCATTGGCAACCACAGGGGGTCGTCTACAAGGAAGTCCTAAAAAAGAAAAAAAACCAGAAAGGAAAGAAAGAATGACTGTGTATTTCACTAACTGAACTTTACTTCATGTCTTGGTTTTTCATATCTGGTACTTTCATTTAAAAGAAAATTATCACACAGGTGCCAAGATCACATGTCAGGAAAGGTGCACAAATGCTTGACAAACCACCATGGTGGTGTGTCCAGCTGTCAGCTTGAGCAAGAATTTGAAGCGAAAACTGTGAACACATTTGAGAATGAGTGTGTCAATATTTCTCTAACGAATCATGAGCAATAAAATAAAAAGAAACACACTGAGAATCATCTTAGGAAAAGTATCCTCTACTGTAAGAGAGCAGAAGGGACAATGGAGAGAGAACATAAATCTTTATAAAACCTGACAACAAAGCCTTCATTGAAACCCATATGAATATGTAGGAGCATGAACAGGTATAATTATATGAAGAGTGAGGTTTCATTTCACCACATTTCAGGTTTTGTAGGAAAAAATGCCTGAACGACAAGTGATTTCATAATGGACCAATAAAATAAAAATAGGCTTGATTTGTTTATGCAAAAATAATTTGGTAAAATATTAAAATCTATATAAATGAAATATAATGCTTTTATACGTTTATAAATCTAAAGAGTTATTTCTCATGACTTTGATGATGGCGATGGATTATCTTACTGAACTGTACCAAACAGAACTTTAGTTTGCATGCTGTCCTCACCTACACACTGTGGTGAAGCACTCCATTTTCCCAGGTGGCATGTTATCCCATCTTCTTTGGATAATTTGAAACCATCCTTACAAATATAACTTAATGTGGTGCCATGCGCATATAGCTTGGGTTCCAATGTTTCTCTGGATGAAATAATGCTTCCATGTTCTACATGAGGCGGTTGAGAACACAGCGTGTTTTCTATATGAAAAATAGAGATTAAAGGGTGAAGAACAAAGATAATATTTAAATTGAAAAATAAAATCCAACACTGTTTGGGACTTTAAAGTAAGGTCATTGGAACCAATTAAATTATTAATAACTAAGAGTATTTGAAACTTGCAAAGATATATGTGCCCATAAAATTGATAGTGACCCACTACTGACCGACACAGCGCGGTATTGACTGCCATCGTCCATCCTGGCACACGATTTCCTCTCCTTCCTGGATTAGAAAGTTTTCTTGACAGAGAATAGATATTTTTTCTCCTTCGTGATAATTCACGGTCAGGGTCATATTTTGAGAATTGGGAATCTGAGGTGGAGGTGGGCATCGTGGTGCTTCTAAAAATATTAAAATCAGATTTCTTGATGAAAAATCATAAGTCAAAATATTAAAATAACAATTTAGTAAATAAAATGATTACTAATAATGCACCTGGAAAGATCAAACTACAATGCTCTGTTCTGTGTTTAAATATGTTATACTTTCCGTCTTGTTTGTCACTCTAATATACCTCATTGGGTTTATATTCTCATGGCCTTCCTTGTAGGTTCTTTTCTTTATTCCTTCTGGGATCAATCTTGGGAAGCTTAGCTTATGTAAAATGCTTTCTGTATATTCTAGGCCCATGGAAATTGGTAAAAATATTGAGGTGAGTGGGTCAAGGTGCCCTTCAGTTAAAGAAGAGCAATAGTGATATGAAAAGTAAATAAACCCTGTGTTATTGGAATTGGTGGTGGCAATGTGACTCAGTGTTTGCCAGACGGATATAAATGAGCAAAGACAGATGACTAGATGGGTAGATTCCTTCAGAGGTAGATGGATACAGACATAGATTTATCTGTAGATAGATGTGTACACCCATAGATGCTTAGATAAATATACATGTTATAGGCATAGGCACATCTGTAAGGTAAGAACTTGGTAGCAATGGGATCCCAATACTAATGCGCACACCCACTGCCCAATGTGACTTTAAAGCCACCGCACTGCCGGGTGGTTTGTTGACAGCTGACCAATGCACATGATACAATTACTATTCAGAAACAGTGTTTTGGTTATTTTCTAAATTACTTTCCAGCTACAACATTATTGTCATAATACAGACTTCGAAATAAAATGTTAAGACACAAAGAGACACCTTGTACAAGGCAGGAAGGAAAATCCACCATTTGGAAATGTTCTAAACAAGAGCTCACCTGTGCAGGTCACCTCGGGCTCCCACTTTCCGTTCACGCAGACTGAGTGTTTCTGCTCTGACTTCCTCCCACATGTGTAATTGATTTTCTTATTATGCTCATAGTCATTCCTTTCTTGTAAGTTTGTCTCATAGGCAGTTGCCCTTGATAATTTACACGTCTTGAATTCAACTGTTGCTGTAAAATGAAAATATTCCATTGAAAACACTGATTATGAAAATCCAAGCAACTAATATTAAAAAACCCAACACAACAACTATAGAGTCCAAACTCTAATGAAATAGGACATTAGGTCCATAAATTCCACCAGCAAAGTTCTTCCTGATCATGTTGCATGAGGTGCGCTACAATGTTTGGACACACAGTCCTATGTTCAGTATTGAAGTTTCAGAGAGAATACTCATCCTAAAGCCATTGGGGACATTGGGGTTCACCTTTTGTCTGATCTACATAGGGAAGAGTCATACATGACTAAATATAATCTTGTTTTTGAAATCTGCAAATTTTCACATCCACTTTTCTTGATCCCAAACATCTCTAAATTATTTTTACTCTACAACCTTGAAGTGTTAAAAGAAAAAAATATCTGTGGAAATAGACTATGTGAATTTCCTAGTTTTATTATATATTTTTCAATAAATTAAAGTACAATGACAAAAAAGGTTGATCTAAGTTGTAGGGTTTAGAATGTGAATATTTCAGCATATCTTTAGCATGATCACTAAAAATCAGAATAAGAAATTGGTTGTTTAAGTCATAACCTATTTTGTATATATATTCTTAGGATCTTTGAGAAGTCACTTTATATACCAGATCATCCTATAATCTAATAATATTATAATGCCATAGTAATAAATTTATGCTGGCATCAGTATGTTTTAGATACCATAAAAATTTTCATACACAGCTACGTATTTCAAAAATGCAATGCAGGTGGCAATCCTTTTTGGATTTGTAAGGTATCAGTGTAGATCTTAGGTAGTTTTTGTTAATAATTTGTTAATGATGAGAGTCCAATGAGGATTAACAGAACAAAGAAAAGTCAAGTAAGCGGCTGAAGAAAAGTAATGATTGTGCAATGCAACCTTGAAAAAGAAACTAAAATAAAAGAGACTAATTTAAAACAGACAAGAGCCTTGAGAATTAGTCTTATTTTTAGGACTGATCCAGAGTGTTGAAGGAATCATCTTTTTCAAGACATGAGAACTGAAGGAAGAATTGTAGTCAAAAGGAGGTGTAATGGCTGTGGTATGTCAAAAGATGCTTGTTTTCTGAAAGAATTTATTTATTCTGAGAAAAGAAACATCTTAAGTAGAGTGAAAAGCTAGATTATAGGGAGGTAAAAAATAAACATTGGAGGAGAAAATTTCAATCATATGTGTTTAAGTAAAATTTAGCTTCATAGGTATAAACAATGTCAATATTAGGGACAGACACATCAAATTCTATTGCTAGTTTCTTTTTTTCCTTTGTAGACACTATTGAACTACAAACAACGAATGTTTGATTCATTATCATTGTCAGCCCGACATTTCAAAAATATGGTTGCATGTAGAGTTTCACAATAAAAAATCACAATGCTATTAATTGTCAATTAAAGAAATGTCTTCTCACCATTGCACTGAGGTGGTTGGGTCCACGTTCCCCTAATGCATGTAACTGAGCTGTGACCAATCATTGTAAAGCCTTCTCCGCAAGTGAACTCTACTGACTCTCCATGGTGATAGGGGGGCCGTGCTGGGGACACGACCTCGCCGTGGTCCAGGTCAGGTACGTCTCCACATGTACTGTCCTCCTCTGTGAAAATCCCACAAACATTCAACTTTAAAATGTAAGTGAGTCTTGATATGAATAGAAACACTACTGAAATTTTGGATACATTACCAACACACACGGGCAAGGGTGTCCACTCTCCATCAACGCACTGAATTTTCCTCGCACCCTTCATCAGGAACCTGGGGTTGCACACATACTCCACCACCTCACCGTGTTCATATTCCCCTTTAGGTGTGTCCGCAACTTTCCCATTGCGGAGTCGAGGAGGTTGATCACAGGACTGCACTTCCTCTACAGTAGAAATACTATATAACTAAAGGTTAAAGTGTCTCTTGTACAACTGAAAATCCAGTAAAATGAAGTGATTTTTTTCTTTAATCTATTACTTATTATCTAACTTATTATAGCGTTCTTTTGAGGAAGGATAAAGAATGGTGTTTACACCAGATTCATGTCTCCCAGCTCTGTTATGATACAGAACTAGCACATTGGACATATATGTAAGCCCAGGAAACGTTCAATATTCTAGATCGGGGTGGGGAACGTCTGGCCCGAGGGCCATGAAAGGCCTTGGAAATCATTTGGACTGGCCCTGCCAAGGCATTAGGGGTGAGTTAATTAAATGTTTGACCAATTGCAGTAGGATAATTTTTAAGTTGATAATTTTATATGATCTGAGAACGATGTCATAATATCCAAATGGCGCTTGGCAGAGAAAAGGTACCCACCCCTGCTCTAGAAGATCTAAACCTATATGCAAATCAATGACCAAATATCATTGTGTAACTATTCACATTCCACGGAAACATTTCATCAAAACTTTTTGGGGAAAAAAATCACTGGAGGCAAGCATTTCATCAACAAATTTTATATTGTATATGGCATTGAATTAACTCCATGATGCTTGAAATTGTCTAGAAATTCTCAGGGAAACTTGAGGTGAGACCCATGCTGATAGAAATGTCCAACACCAATGGTGGAAGTTATACAAAAATTATGACCAAAGAGGTCACTCCAGCGTCACACAATATGTGCGTCTACGGAGTTTTCAGTATATGGTCCAAACAACAATGAAAGATTCTTTCCTTAAATAAGTAAGTGGGAGGTATCTACTACTCAACACACATTTCTGGCTTAATGCACTGAGTTATAGACACACTGGGAGCCAACAGAAAATTAAGAGGAAAAGGGCAGCTGATATCCAACATTCTTATTCTTGTTTGAGCAGGTGGCAGAGAATTAATCACCTTTACATGTCGGAGGACTAGGGGACCATCCAAAGTGGTAGCACTGAAGAGAGTCTGGTCCAATAAGTTTATGTCTGTTTCTGCAGGAGAATGTCAACACGTCTCCAATGACATATTTCTCTTTCTGGGGCTGAGCAAGTAAGTTCTGCTCTATATCGGGAACGATGCATTCTCTTTCTATAAAAAGAGTAAATTATTTAATGAGAACATATGATTAACCAGTGGCAAGTAAACTTTATATGTCATGCAAGAATAAGTGGCTGGGTGTTGCATATACGGAGAGGCATCAAATAAATGCTCTCCCTGGAAGTGCATTATCTATTATGTCTGAAACATCCCTCACATTCATTTGGGACCCTCTGAAGCAATAGATGTGTCCTGAACACTTATTTGTAATTTCAACTAGCTTATAGTAAATCTGATTTTATCGATGACATTAGGAAAACTAAATTCTACATTTTTGGTATTATCAAAACAATACTATTCTCTCACATTCAAGAACAACTAATGCTACAATTTTAAATTGCATGCTTAAATAAAAATTGGTACAGTAATGTAATATACTTGGGGACCAGGACACTCAAACAGAGGCATTTCTCATATATTTTAGTAGAGGAACATTAAAAGTTGCTTAGTTAATAATTTAAATCAATTGCTACGTAGAATAAAACCCCAACTCTTTCACGCCTACACTTCCAACGCCATCTTATCTTTTCCTCCGATTGTTGATCCAGACCCCAGGCTTCATGGTCTTGAACATTTTTTAAGAGATCAAGTTCCTTGCTCTCCCTGTTGCACGGTTGCGAATGGTTTTCAACCTTTCTGTGTAGAGATGCCTTCCTCTATGAAACAAGCCCTCAATCCCTCCCATTTTCTAAGTCCTTGGATGTATTTGTTCCTTTGAAAATATAAAAATGTATTAGGTATATTGTTATCATTTGATTCATTATTTGACTTTTTTCATTGTGTTGTTTTTTCCATAATGCAAGGAGCCTGTGGGGAGCCCATACTAGGTGGGTGTGGAAGCCGGCATGGAGAATGTAGACAAATCACCAGAATATTTTTTAAAAAATATGAGAATGTTTGTCAACATGGAAACATTTTATAGAAATGGACGAATGAACAATGTTGCTGATCAGCGTGGTGTTGCCCAAAGACACATGCTTGGCAAATCGGGGAGTGGAATTGAAACCCACCCAGACTATGAATCCATCTGTCAGACTTCCTGTCCCTTTCATCCTTTTATCTCTCCACACCTAAGGCAACATTCATTCCAACATTTTTTACTCCTGATTCTCTGCGTCCTTTTATTCTCTCTACTTTGCGGCCCTCTCCTCTTCTGACGGACATCTGCATGCTGGAATGCTTCAGGGCTCAGTCTGGAGGTCTCCTCTTTTCTCATTCTGTATTCTTTCCCCATGAGACGTTGTAATTTACATGGAGGGAATCTCATATGTTGAACTAGCGAGGCCTCAACATTCAACTCTGTAGCTTAGAATCTAATGTTGATGGTCCCTGGGCTGCTCAACGCTCATGTGCCCACGTCAATAGTGGAGATGTTCCTCTCAAAGAGCTCTTTCTACTGCCCGCACCACCTTACCAAACGCCACCTCCATGTACCTGCTTCCTTATGAGAGAATATTTAAAATAAAAGCGTGAGTCCCTGGACGATTACTCTGCCTGACACCCAACACTCAGTAACGTCACTGTCTTTTCTACCAACATGCATCCCAGATCTGTCCTCTGCTCTGCATCTCCTCAGCCGCCACTCTGGCCCAATCTCCACCGGAAATCCCCCACTTCCTCAGTGGAACCCTCATAGTTCCCAAGGATTGTTTGGTTTTCAAAGCTTTACACAAACTGTCCACCCACGTGCCCACAGATGGAGGTTCTATTTCTAACCCCGGAAAACAGACAGTGGGCTGGCAGACATGCAGGAGATTCCTGTAACTGTCCTCAGAACTGTCCACAATCAGGAAATAAGGAAGTCCTCCCGGGGCCTGCAGGAATGAACACTCGGCTGGGAGGTGGCAACAACCAACTCGGGAGAAAACTGCTGGGGAAGTTGTAAAACATATCACCTGGGTCACGAGTATCTAAGTTTACATAACATAAATGGTTGTGTTTAGGATAACAAAACAATTATACGCTTTACACACATTTTGTTTATTTCGATGATCCTGAAAATCAGTACTTACCCTGACAGGTGGGTGTATCAGACCAACCATTTTCACCACACACTATGGAGCCTACGGTGTGTCCATCTCGGTTTTTATATCCATCCTGGCATTCATAGGCCAACCTGTCATTGACCTTAAACCACGTGCCATCACTTTTGGCTCTGGCATTCTCAAATACTGGCACACCACAAGATTCTAATGCATAATAGAATTGAAGATTTCACTTCTAATATTATTGAATGGACAATCGAATTGCGTAAGTTCCATCCCAAGAATAAAAAGCGTTATCACTTAGCATGTGCTAACAAATTATGCATCATATACAAGTAATCTACGCATACTAGTGATAAATCACTGTCCTAAAATTGGTACTCATGAGAAAAGCATGTGTTTCTACACAGCAGTTTTACCATCACTTAAACCACCAAAACCTTTATTTAAGAACATTTTTCTCAATGCAATTAA